GCGAGCGCGGGGAAGAGAGGCACGGTGATGGTGGAAGTTTCCCTTTTAATCTTCTTACAAAAAAAAAAAAAAAAGCTTTAAAAATGTATTACAAATATATTTTTTTTAATTTTTTTTTTTTTTTCTCCCAAGTTATTTTAAGAAGCTCATTTAATCTGCTTGGCCACTTCTCCCGCTTTCACACAGCAGAGCTAGGCAGGCAATTTTCATGCATTAACCCAGTGCCTGCGTTTGGCTTTCAGGGCATTTAATCCTCCTCCTGGAGAAGAAAAAAAATATTGGAAAAAAAAAAAAAAGAAAAAAGAGAGAAAAAACCACCTTTTCAGTGTCTAAGCGTATTCGGGTGATTGCCTGGCGCCGGCCTCGGCCGGGGGGGCGGCGGGCGCCCACCACGGAGGCTGCGCGGCCGGGCTCCCGCTTCATGTGAGCTCCCCTGCCAGCTGCAGCAGCCGCCTTTGCCCTGCGGCTTCCCGGCCCGCTCCCCCAGGGGCTCCGCTCGTCCARAACCGCTCCAGCGGTTAAAAAAATACCCTGGTCCCGCCTGAGTCRCACGTAAAGGGCGGAATTTGGGAGCTCCGGGTGCCCAAATTCTGCATCTCGGCAACTCTGAAGCTTGGCAGAGAGGATGACTTGATYTGTTTTAACTGAGCGGGACAGCGCGGGGGCTTTAGGCCGGCGCAGGGCCTTAGGCCGAGGGGCGGTCGGGGCGCGAGGCCGCCGCGCTCTCAGATCCTCGCAGCCCTGSTTCAGACCGCGCGCCAGCCCAGGCGGCTCCGCGTGACCCTGCAGCTTCCTCCACGCGCCCCGGGAGCCTCTCGCGGGACAAGGCAGCGCGCCGGCAGCCCGAGACGCTCCCGGTGCCGCCTGGAGCGAGGCCGGGCCCCGCTGGGAACCCAGCAGCTCGGCACGCAGCAGACGCGGCGGTTCCGCGCGCCGCGCTCCTGCCCACATCCCCAGCAAGGGCTGCCTGTCTCCTACGGGAAGCCTGACGCCGAGGGGGGATCCTGCCCCTTCCCAAAGCCATGCTGCCCACTGGCTCACAGGACGGTCCTTCCAGCGACAGCTTCMGGGGCGGCTCCCCTGCAGGTGGCTGCCGCAAAGGCTACGGCAAGGGGGGAGCCGCTGCCTCCCCCGGCCGCAAAGGGGGCTCCGAGGACACCTCGGCCGGGACAAGCGCTTCCCKCTGGCCACCAACAGCCTTCATCTTGATGAGTGCCGGCCATGCCAGGAGCTCGGCTGGAGCGGAGGTCCCCTGGGCACGGAGGCCTCTGAGAAAGGCTGTAATGGGGTGGGGGAACCCGATAGCGTCCTTATAATTTGATTTTTCATTATCTCCTCTCTGATTCGGAAGTGAAATGTCAATTGAGGTCAATCTTTTATGTAGATTTACAAGGTAGGGGTGCTTAGAGCTTAAGGTAAAATCCTACTGTATATGAAAATACACAACGGCATAGCCTTTATATATATATATATATAATATATATATATATATATAAAAGCTCAGTATACCAAGCTATTTCTAATTTAATGTACAAAATAAAGTCACAGCATAAATGGCAAAAGTTATGTAAAAGCTTCCAAAAATGCAAGAATAAGACAGCTAACATTCACATGGGAATGTATCCAAGAAACAACAGAAAAGAGGGAATTTGCACACTGAAGCGCCAGGATCTCCAGGCCCCTCCACAGCAGCACTTCCCATTTCCCTCTCCACTAATGGCTACCCATAGATGTAATGGGGGAAGCAGGAGTCTCTTTTTTAAAACATTTTGAAGCTCAAACCCGTATGGCTGATTTTAAAGGATTAAGTTTGTAAGAACATGCTAGAAACCCGCACTACTCATCAGTTGCCACTCTGCTGTAGGCCTCACTGATCCTATACAGACAGCACCACTTAAAGCGCAGTGAGAAAACAAGGTCACGTAGCMGGCCCTAAGGCGCTGCCCCACCGAGCTTAATGGAGAAGTCCATTCTTCCAGAATCTTATTTTGGGCTGCCTGCAGACTCGGAAGAAAAATTGGCACTATTACACCTTGGTCACATCCTCAAATTTGTCTTTGCCCCTGAATGCTAAGAGAGAAAGAGAGACAGAGAGACAGAGAGACAGAGAGACAGTGCCAAAGACAGAAAAAAAAAATCAACTTTCTGACTTTGTCCATTCAGTGACAACTACCTGACCATGATCAGTTACATAAAAATGATGACTAAAAGACTAAGTGTTAGGACTAATGAAAAAATTAACTCCACATGGACAAAGGTGGAGCATCCATGGGCTCCTGCAAATGGATCATCAGGGCTGTGCTTACACATGCATTCAAGTGATCCTAATTCAGGGTAAAGCCATCAGCACTATCTACACWTTTTTTTAAAGCAATTTATAAGCAAATCACCCTTCAATTCATAAAGAAGAAAAAATAAAACATGAAATTGTTACTGCCCAAAATGGTTCCTTGCTAAAATAAATCCTTAAAGGATCAATTTTGAAACCAGTGCAACAAAACTTAAAAGGTTTACATGCAAATCTCCAGCCAACACCTTCTGTGAGACGCGAGCAAGCTCTGCAAACTGAGCACATGCCTTGTACTGGCGTCATAATAAAGATATAAGTCCCTGCTTTTAGTGCAAGAAAATCAACTCAGCCTTAACTGTATGCAGCCACTACAGTATGACCACAATAAAAATCTCCCAAACTGGACTTATTTTGCCTTAGCCATCCTTTCCCCCCACACTTAATCCAAGCGCCTCAGCAGCAGAGCCACACAAACAACGGAGATACAAGAAGGGAAACAGCCTCCAGACTTAGCAGCYTTCTGCATGGGCAAAATACAGCCCTTTAAGGAGCCCCCTGGCTTAGGCCCTGCTGCCGCAGCACGTGGGCAAGCGGCAGGGACTCGCTTAACGCACCCGAGCTCTGCCAGCGCACACGCCAACAGGTTTTCCTGCCAGCCTTCGATGTCAGGCTTGCCCTGCGCATCCCTTTCCCCTCACCCACAGATCCCCAGGAAAAGAAAAACCCTTCTCCCGACCCTGAGCGGACTGACAAATGGAGATGGAGAGTCACCCTCTGTCTTTGAGGTCACCGCTGCTGCTCGAGCCATAATTCAGCAATTACTCAGTTACTGTGTCTCTGCAGCAGCATTTATCAGCAGCCGGGGGGAGAGCGAGGACTGCGGCCGCCTCTCGGCCCCGCGCTCCCTCCCAGCCCCCTTTGCCAGAAGGACAGCAAAAGGCCCTTGTGGAGATGCAGTTTCGTGGGCTTGGGAGCAAAGCTGCAGGTGTCTTCACGTGCTGGAAGGACTCCCTGTACCCCAGTATTTCTTAGCGGGAGGACAATTTCAGAATGCAACTAATGGGCTCCTCTGAGGGGGAATTATTTTTTAAGGTTTCCCTGCCAATGAAAACTGTTGAGCCAGCAGCACCAGGAGGCCAAGGTCTCTGCAGAAGTAGGCACAGGAACTGCCGCTGTCCCCTCAGGGCAGCATCCCCATCCTGATCCCTTCCCCTGTTCCGCTGTTTCGTGTCGTGTGCAGGCTCTCCACTGCACTTGCACGGCTTTTATCCAGAGGCATGCAGCTGCTATGGGAATGGGCACACAGACTAGCTTGAAGGCAGAGAACACAAAAGATGACAGCGAGATCAGGCACCTACAGGTCACGCAACTAGGGTCTGAAACTTCTGCTCTCGGTGGGACGGCTACGTCTTTGAGCAAGCGTAAAGCAAGGGCAGCTACAGCTGCCGGTTTCGCCAAGAAAGACACCAGCACGGCTGCATTCATTAGCATTTCCTACCTCTTTTCCCATCCAGCCCCAGGATTTCCCATCCCTTCCTCCTGTTTTTTTTCGAGTTACTTCAGATAAAACGGGTCACACCTGACCCTATGGGAAGGTGACACAGTGTCACACACCTCCCAAGGTCCTGCAGCAAAGGCAGGGCGGGCTCTCCCCTTGTTACTTCTCTGCCACTGAACTCTCCCCTTAAGACATTCAAAGGACCTGAGCGCTCAATGGAAAGTATTTTAGGAAGAGCATGGATTCTCAACCTACTGATCGTCATGTCTTGGGCGCATCGCTTGGAAGTGGCTCTCCTCCAGACACAAGAAGCATCTCCAAAAGCCATAGTGTTAAGTCCTAGAGCCCAAGTCCTGCAACAGAGCAACAGCTGGATTGAAGGACCTTGGAGCACGTCAAAGGAAGGAAAAGATAAAGCAGGTGAATGTGGAAAGCATGAATCATAGCAAAAATAAATAAATAAATAAATAAATCACCTATACAGGAGACAATTCTGCTCCGTCTTTTAATACTGCAACACTTCTGCCCTCCCATCTTCCTGTTACAAGGAGCTAACTCATGAAAATAAGGTCTTTGCACCTTAAGACCCACTTGGCTACTTCTGCTTATTCCTTTTACCTGCTGCCAAACACCTGCTTCTTGCAGAATCAGAATTAGCTGCTGTGGAAGCGATTCTGATATTGCAGGCAGAAGAATCTGAGTCCAGGAAAAAAAGGCTACATGAAAGCTGAACTTTGGAGGAGAAAAGGATYGCATTTCCATGCAGATGTCCAAAGTAATAAAGGTAGAAATTAAAACTGAAAGCCACACAAATATGATTCTCTAGCAAGACTGTCTCCAACAAGGCAGAAAAGGCCATCAATAAATCTTCATTATATGAATGGCTAAACATATCTAAACAAAACAAGAAATTCAAATATTAGAAGAAGAGCTCATCTTTTAAAATGGGCTTGCCAGAACATGTTTTACAGACAGGGAATTTTTCTTTAATTGTGCTGGCCTTTTTCAGGGGCTTCACTCGCTATTTCTTGCTGCCTACAGGGAAGTGGGAATTTCCAGGCCTGACAAGCTTAAATCCCCCTGACATACAGTTCCAAATTTCAGAGGCAACGAGGATTTTGCTTCTTCCTTCTCTCCCTGTTGGCCTTCTCCCGGCTGCACGCAGCACTTGTTTTGAATCGCAGCCGCTCCAACAGGAGGGGGAAACGCCGGTCCCCGACGGAGCCGCCTGCGCTCCTCCGCTCGCCTTGCTGCCACTCCACCCGGGCACCTGCAGCAGTTTCACCAGGAGCACCCAAGGCAGGCAGGGCCAAAAGCAGAGAGCATCAAGCCAGACCAAAACCAAGCCTTACCTTCTGGTAAGAAGTCTCTTTTTGCATTGCATGTATGCAGTGGTCTAAAGGATCGCTCAGATATTTAATGTTACATTAAATCTCATTATCCTCTTCCCACACAAACTGAATTCCACCTTTTTTTTTTTTCCAGAAATACTGGACTATTTAACAAATAATTTTAAAGTATCACTACTGTTTACTTATATGCTTTTTATTGCTGTCAAAACACAAGGAAACAAAAAAAAACCCAACTTCAAATACAACCATTCACATAGTATTTTGAGAATCTAAGAATACTCACAATGCTGAAAATCCCTGATTCTAAAATTGAAAAAAAAAAAGCTTTAGTTTCTTATTTTAGCATCCTGCATTATCCTGACTCTTGCTCACGCTCAAAGGCAGGCATACAAGAGCATACAGAACTCAGGACTAAACCTCAGCATGTTCAGCTATTTAGGAGCACAGCCTGTGTATGTATTTGGAGGCAGGGGAAGGACACCTAACCCAAGTGATGGCAATGCTTTAAAAGCCATCAGATAACTGTGGTAACCGACCGGRGTTAAGAAACCAGCATTTGGTTTCACAAAGTCTGTGCACGCCCATCTTTGGAGTKTCCAAGACCTGAGGAAAATCCCAAGCAGTTTCCGTCTCCTGCTTCCAAGGTATCTTCCCKCTGCCCGCCGAGTTCAGCAGTGCCGCGTCCCAATGGGCAAAACCTCTGTCACGCTGGGGCTGTTGTCACCCTGCTTGAGCGACGCCGCTCTGCAGCACGGACCCCGCCAGGCTCGCGCTCACCCTGCGGAGGTCCCTAGAGATGAAGGCCGCCCATGTAACCTCTGTGTGCAAGTGCTCAGGGCGGGCCGAGCTGAGACGCGGCRCTGCCAGGTCCGTCAGGGCTCTGAGGATCAGCCCGGCCCTTCTTACGGCATCACCCCAYGCGGGCAGGGCCCGTGGCAACCAGTCACCTTGGGGAGTCCCCACTGGTTTCWGAAAGCCCACAGGACAGAAGACCCCCAGCATCAACTGCTCCCCAGCGGCATGAAGGAGGGACACTGCTCTTCTCTGAAACCAGCAACGCTCCACACTCCTACCGTGTGATTCACTCCACGGAGCTGAAGATCAAGGTGCTGCTTATTCCCGATATTGAGGGGAGTAGGGTGAATAGTCACCCTACTTACRCTTGGCTCATGTTATCTCATCTCCAGAGACAGTAAATCTGCAACTAGCCTTTAGGTGATAACTAGGGGGTTTSCTCAACAGCACTTTTCATTGAGACTGGAGAGAAGTTTTCAAAAAAAGAGGAAAGAAAAAAAAGCCGCAGCGGTTGCAAGAAATGGAATATCTTAACAGAAAGGGGGAAGAACCAATTAATGCTTTTAGCTTGTTCCCCTTTATCACTGCCTGGAAATTCAGCTCTGATACAAGCATCTCCTGCCTARGGCTTTTTGAGAGACCCTTGCACATCCTCACTGATTACTTCCCCTACTCAGGGAGACAGACTGTCCTTTACCCTACATGCTTTTATCCTCTTGATGAGGTCTCTTACCCAGCTGGATCCTGCCTCCTTCTCCCACTGCAATCTCTGAGCCTGAGAGAAGACACCTGGGGACCTTTCACTTTGCTTAGGAAAGAGATTTAATCCTCTCATATCCTAGCATGGGGTTGAAGTGCTGCAGTCCTCCCCCGCTTCCCTCAACACCTCTGGTTACAGGCCCAGGCAATGGTTGTCACCAGCCGAAGAAAAACCAAAGGAAAAGGTTTTCTGCACTGTTTTCTTTTCTTTTGGGAGTCATTTAAAAGCAGGTGCAGATAAAGAACTGAGCAAAACCCTGTAGGGGACAATCCTGGCATCCCCAGACAAGCCGATGAGGCTTAAAACCTCTACCTAATCTCGGCTACGTCGCGTTGCTGCCGTGCTCTGCCCCAGTCCCATGTGGCGCGTTGCCCTCGTGCGTGCCCGGCTGCGCAGCGGAGACGCGCGGCGCTGCGGGCCCTGCACATGGCCGGGCAGGGAGCGCAGCCGGCCGGGCCCTGCCTCCAGCAACCAGCCTCCGGGCGCCGACACGAGATTCCCAGCTAAGCCTGGCCATGGCTCGGCCAGGCAGCACYGGGCACGGGCAAAGACTTTTAGCTCCAAATTACTTTACAAACTAACAAATCCTTACTTCCCCCTCGAGACAAGAAAGGGGGAAAGAAATTCCCTTACACATCASCCTCATGCCTGATGGGGCAGAGATGCAAATAACCCTGGGAAGTCTCTCGGTGCCAGAGCTGGGGCAGAGGAGATGAAATTCCGTCGTGCGGTAATTTATTTCTTTATTTGTGTGTTATTTGCTGCAGTCCTCTCCCAGGCTGGTGCTGAGGAGGCCGGGGGCAGGTGCCGCGGCGGCCCCTGCGCAGGGAGCGCCCAGGCGCTGCGCCACGCGCCGTGGGTGTGCGCCGCGCCACGCGCCGTGGGTGTGCGCCGCGCCACGCGCCGTGGGTGTGCGCCGCGCCACGCGCCGTGGGTGTGCGCCGCGAGCGCGCAGCCGGCAACTGCAGGGGGTGCTGTTCATCAGGCTGGCGAGGCGCGCGGGGCACAGCCGGGCCCGCAGCAGCTCCAATAAAGAAATAAATAAACACAAAAGCCGGGGGCGCTGGGTCGCGGCGCCGCGGAGGGAGCAGCCGGAGCGGGAGCAGCGGGAGCAGCGCGGCGCCGCAGCCGGCCGGGCCGGGTGCCCTGTGCCGAGGGCTCCGGGGAGCAGTGGAGAGGCCGCCGGTCAGCGGGGCCGAGCGAGGCCGTGGCGGTGGCAGGGAGGCCGCCCCACACCTGCGCACGCCCCGTCTCAGCCCTCCTGTTTCGAGGGCRCCCCAGACCGCGGCGCACGAGGCGGCTGGCGGGGGGCTGGGGACGAGCCCCTCTCTCCTTGGCTGGCCTTGGAAGCCCCCCCGTGCCTGGAGCGGGCGTTTAGCAAGTGCAAACACGGCGCCGGGCCCGGCCTCCCTGCCCTGTCACCACCACTGTCCGTCCTGTCCTGCCCGAGGTGCTGACACAAAATGATGGCTTCCTCCCCGGCCCAAAGGGGCAGGGCCCTCGCATCGATCCCGAACGGGCTGCACGCTGCTCTCCCGCTCCCGTCGTGCTATATGGCAAAACTCAGAGCAGCCCCCCCACTGCCCCCGCCTTTGTGCAAAATCCCAAATGAATGGAAAATTGGACACAGGCAGGCAAATGCCGAGAAGGAGGAGGGGCAAGCTAACCCCCCTCCTTCCCTCCACCCCCTGTTTCTCCTTTCTATTCCTCCCCCGCTTTTTTTTCTCCCCCCCCCCTTGTTTTTTTGAGGTTGCTTTCTGCTGGTGCCCCCCCGTTGCTATTGTACTGCCATCAGTTAAAAAAAAAAAAAAAAAAAAAAAGGCGAGAGATATTATAGAACAGAAATCGTGTCTCAAGAGCCCTTGAGAATGTGACCCCGAGGCCCTGCCCTCCTCGCGGAGACACCCATCGCCGTCAACGGCAGGCGCGCACCCCGGCGCCCGCCACTCCTCTGAGCCCGCACGGCGAAAACAACACCACCACCACCACCAGAAACCCACCATCAGCCAGAGCAGCCACACGGGGGGGAAGGCAGGCAAAGCAAACACACACACGCGCGCGCATAAACCCCATAACCCATTTGTGTCGCTCCCCGAGCTGGCGGCGAGCAGCCAGCAGCCGGGGCCTTGGGAAGGGCAGCAGGGGCGGCCGGCTGCGTCCCACGGGCTCCCCGYGCGCGGCAGCACCGCGCCACGCGCCGCCGGCCTCGCCGCGGCCCTCCTCGCGCCCTGGAAACTTTCGGCAAGGAGAGAGACAGAGAGCCAATTCACGGTACCTTGCTGGCATCTTTCGCAGCTTTCCCTGCTGCTTCTCCCCACCCCCTTCCGATTTATCTCAGCTACTGGTTTTATAAACCAAGAGGGTG